TAATTAACTGTAAATATCCATAGTTAATGTGTGTTTAATACTATATAGCACGGCCCTTTGAAAAACAGACTGTATATATTATACTGAATAGGCTACCGTGTTAAAAGAAATTTTATTAAAGATTAAAGATTAAAGATTAAAGATTGATCTGCTGTAACAAGCTATGTAATGCATATCGCCATGGCATGTCAAAATATTTAGCTCGAAAATTAAAAACTAAGAAAACATTAAAGCTAATGCTAAAGAAAACAAACAAACATCCGGACCCGCTATTCTCCCCTCTGGCCACGCCTTTGGACGAAATGTGCGTTTTTAAGTAAATTGCAATTATCGGTTACCTTAAATCAATATATGATTACTTTATTGCATGGGGGTTTCTCATATGTATGAACGCTCAACTCTGCATTTGATGATGTTAATAATAACCTTGCGCATTTATTTCTTTGTTTTTTTTATGAATTTATTTGCATCATATTCGAATTTGGAACCTTTAGCTACCTAAACTAGATGGTTGTGACTTTACTTGTATTAATGGATATGTCTATAAGCAGTTTGTGGTCACGTCGAAAAGTTTTTACAAATATAATTTAATTAAAAGCCTGAAAGTGAAGTCATCTGAAAATTAAACTGTATCTGAAATAAAAGTATTGAACTAACCTCAAATTATTAAAGGGTTCCAGCGGGTGTCTAGTAATTTTTGATAGAGCGTAAAATGTTCAAATGAGCAAAACACGAAATGAGCGGTATAAAGGGAATAAGGCACAATTGTAAATAAATCCAGCTTTGAATAAAAACCAATGCTCGAACCATCTCGTTTCGCCATCCTTCCAAACACTCAACGGTATTTTCCAAGGATGTAAATGCGCAGCGAACGCGTTAGCCACGAATAACAAAAGTTAATCAACTACAGGGTGTATAAAAAAAACTGAACGGATTCGAAATTGCTCTCAATTTCGCAAAACAGCTATTAGTATATAGCTTCTTTGTCTACTTATAATGTAGAATGATGAAAAAAAATTCTCGAACACAAATTTTGTAAACCAGGGGGTTTTTTTTTCGACAAACTAAAAATGGCTTGCGCACGCGATTTAAAAGCTATAATTGTATTTTGTGTTAATGCCGGGATGAAAAATGTGTTGGGTGCTTAATTGCTGCACGAAATTTCAGACAATTTGCATCAGATTAAGTCCTTCAACTATTCACGCAAACTTACATTTTTCCTAAGAAATCAGCAATTTGCATGCTTAATTAATGCATTTGCCCAATTTGCATATGTCAGCAATATGCAAATTAGGTAAATGCATTAATTAAGCATGCGAAAGGCTGATTTTTTAGGAAAAAATGGATAGTTAACAGGCTTATAATAAAGCAAATTGTCTGAAATTTTGTACACTAATTAAAAACCCAACCAGTTTTCCATCGATTAACTCAAAATACGATTAAAGCTTTTAATTATATTTCGTGCGCAAGCCATTTTTAGTTTGTTGGAAAAGCCACCTCACCCCCTCCCCTCTGGTTCACAAAATTTGAGTTCGAGAACTTTTTTTCAATATTCTACCTTACAATTACCCAAAGAAGCTATATACATCAAAAACTAGATACTAATGGCGGTTTTGCGAAATTGAGAGCAATTTCAAATCTGTTCAGTTTTTTTTTATACACCCTGTATAACCCATTCTTCTTTGAAATGTTGACAGCTCTATACATTAGGAATTCTACGCAACGTCCATTTAAAGGGCCTGCATTATATAATAGGTCTAGTGTTACTATACAGGAAGAGACCAGCTAAAAGGCGTTTGTACTTATATACAGTTGTAAACCGTTTTGCCATTACGGTTCATTTTTATTGATTGATCAGCTAGTGTCCCTGAATGTTTGGAAGACGGGAACGGTGGTGCTAGGAAAACAGGAACAGTGGAAATGGAAAACAGAAAAAGTGCTGAGTCACAGGGCACTTTTCATGAACAGGTGTTGCATGCGATTGGCTGAAATAAGATAAAAGACAACAAGCAAAAGAAATCATCATGTCCATATTAAGAACTAGTATACCTCTGCTAGTTACACAATTCAATGTTGTTGATTTTAGTTTCGCATATTTTATTTTAAGGAAACGATGTCTTAGCGCTCTTGGCAAAAAGGTAAACAATTGATATTTTAGATTACCATCAATAATGCCTTTCGAATGTCAACTTAAAACCTGGTACACTTCTATATTAAAAACCACGTTTTAACTATCTTCGTCATAGAATGAACCTAGTCCTATTCCGTACAAAATTTTCTTTGCATCACCAATTAAGGCTGAACCTCGCCCCATTTTTCGGAGGAGCCTAAATAAAATTAACGCTTGTTTTGAGGAATATCATTATCTCTTTAGTTCATGTGTGCCAGCAGAAGAAGAGCCTGTGTATACCAACCAGAGTGATTGTCAGCCTTTAATAAAACTGGACAAACCATTTTGTAGTCATTACGGATTTAAGCTGGATAAATACGTCAATGTATCTGTGCATACACAAAAGATTTGGAATAACAAATTATGGGAGAAGCAGGAACAATACGACCAAATACTTTTTAAAGGAAAAAATATGTCAGCTTCGCCCGAATGCATGGACCAAGTTCGCTTCATTGCCTGTTACTACACGTTTCCGGGGTGCGATCGCAGCACGAGTGTACTGAGACCAAAGAAATTTTGTAAAGAATCGTGTCTTCATTTTACAAATGAATGTAGTAGGTTTGTTAACGCGTGGAAAGAGATCTTATTGCCATCATATCCAGAAAAGGCGGCTCTGTTCAGTTGTTTGGAAAAACCATCAAGAAATGCTGGGGAGTCTCCCGAGTGTGTATATTATGATAGGAAGGAAAGTGTGGAAAAAGAAGGTATGTTAATCGGTCAGTATTTCGACATATCCCGCACTCTGTCCGGCAGTTGGGTAGGCGATCTGCCTGACGTTCGGTCAGTCAGTGAGTCAGTCATGAGCCAGTTAGCCAGTGTGGAAAACCGCCAGCTCGCCGCCGGACGTACTCCTTAAAGGTGGGCGAAGCGAAGGAGGCGAAAGACCATCTGCCAGGTTTAGCTATGCATTTTAAACACGGCAAAACAATTTTTGGAGCTGCCAATCTAGTAGAGGAAATATGGTTAATGTAATTTATTATAGACAGCTACCGGATATAAGCTATTATTCTGCAATCTGATTGGTTTTCTCCTAGCAGGATATTAGCTCATATCCTGCTTGTAGAGAAAACAAGATGGCGGCTCAAGAATTACTGAAGTTTTGCGAACGAGAAAACAGCAAGTTATTCGCTTTTTATAGCCTTATGTGAAATAAAAACACAATGAAAAACCCCCAGCGATTGTTTACAAGTTAGTAATTTAGTAAATAAAGTTTTATTAATATCGAAACTTGAAAATAATCGACGGCGTTCTTTCGCTACCGTTATTCATAATTACGGTTTGCAATTTGATTGCGCTGTATGAACATTGCAGTCTGATAGTTAATACACGAAAGAGGGAGGTATGCGAAATAAATATGGCAAACCCAGCAGATGGGTTTGGTATATGTCCCGTTTTCGCCCCCCCCCCCCCCAAGCTGGCCGTCTGCCACGCAGGGCCTCTAGGTCCGTCATTAAGCACTCAATCTGTCTGTCAGTCTAATTACTACTTTTTCTTGTAGATTGCGTGTATCTAGATGGCAGCAGTTACTATGGCAACATATCCGTGACAGCCTCGAATATTCCGTGTCAAACATGGACAGATCAATGTCCGCATCGTCATACCATGAACAAAACATATCCAGAACTAAATAACGCTAATAACTATTGTCGAAATCCTCAAAACTCAGGAAAACAACCTTGGTGTTTTACTACTGATAAGAACAAGAGGTGGGAGTACTGTGATATCCCCAAATGTATATCAGGTATAAAGTAATATTGTAAAGTGATATCTCTTAATTAACGCATACCATGTATACAAGATCATTTCGAAACCGATTTTTGCACGGGACTTCGGTGGCGCAATCGCAAGTGCCTTTCACCACTAAGATCATGGGTATATGATTCCCATTCAGGAGGCAAGACATTCATGTGAAAAGAGTCAGTCAATGCTCTACAGAACGTCGTGGGTTTTCCCGCGTACATATTCTGATTTTCTCCCGCAGAGTGTGTTGACAGTTTTATTGTAACTGTGCTCCATGATCTGACAGGCGCCCAAGACGCACCCTTTCCCAGAAAACCTTCCACTCGTAGGACCGGTTGAGCAAGACCCTCGTTATTCAGCTTTACCTCCAGCTGCAAGTAAGGATGATTAGCGCACGCCCAGCCCCCACGTATCTCCTTACACATAGAAAGCACAATTTTTCATGGATCTGCATGCAAGTTGTAACAAGGTTGTTGTCAAGCTAGTATCTGGATATGTTCGAATCATTCGTTTCCAGTTGTTGTAACAACGTTGTTATACGGAGTTGATGACGGTAACACACTTGCTACGACTTGTTCCAGCTAGACTAAAGCCGGTTTCCACTTCGCCCATACCGCAGCGAAACGTACTGGTGAGCATGCGCAGATTGAAAAGAGGTTTACAAATCCACGTACTTCCGGGTGTATTCGCGTATCAAAATAAAAAGTTCGTCGCCAGTCAACTTTTAGCGTACTACGGAAGTACTAACCAATCAACATTCACGAAATTTTGAAATTTAAAAACGCCTTTGATACGTTTCAGTACGGTACGCTTTGTAGTGGAAAACCGGCTTAATATACGCTATTCGTAACAAGTTGCTACGATCTGTCATCAACTTGTTAACAAGTTGTTACAACTGTTGACTAAAAGTTGTTAGACTTGTTAACCTTTCCTGCCCGACTTGATAAAGGCGCCTTTAAAAGCTCGTCATTTCACATAAAATGGTGATCGTAAAAACATATTGTAAAATTATAAAGTTATTATGGTAATTTGCGCGTGCTTTCAAATTGCCATATTTAACCTACCGTTATAGGCCTTACATGCATATATATATATATATATATATATATATATATATATATATATATATATATATATATATATATATATATATATATATATATATATATATATATATATATATATATATATAAGTAATTTGATGTTTTTAAAAATAATTGGTCAAAATGTGCAATTTCGGTATAGTATGACGGGAACCCCCCCCCCTCGTCGCCAACATTTCCGGGAAAAATTTTTTAGGTGCCCCATTCAATATCTAAAAGTGCCCCTCGAAGCAATGCCGCCGTGCAAGTAATTATAGCGGTGTCATTCAGACTCAAAAAAAGAAATAAAGGCTTCAGCCTGACCTGGGAGGATAACATACAATTAATATTTTCATGTGGTAGTGTGTGACCCCAAAGCATCTTTTTCTTTGATACAGTGGATGGTAGTTATAGCAACTGGTCATTAAACGGTACCTGCAATGTAATTTGCGGTGACGGTTTTGAAACATGGTCGCGAGAATGTAATAACCCTGAGCCGAAGTATGGTGGAAGAAACTGCAGTCATCTAGGAAAACCTGTTGAGTACAGACAATGTACTAAGAAACCTTGTGTTGGTAAATATACTATTCCTTTCGAAAGTACCGTAAACTTGCGAATAAAGAGCAATGCAATTATAAAGCTAATTAAGTCCTTACCTTAACAAATTTGCTAAAGTAATCGTTCTAATTTCTGTTTATGATGGATAGCCCTATCAGCTTTAGGCCGTTCTACATGAAGGGTACATAAAAAAATTGCTTGAAAATGTTAGCTCAACAGCCACAACTGCAAGTTCCGCAAAATTTGTAAAATTTTGATTGGGGTTTGCCAGCATCAGAACTACTAAAATTATTTTGAAAAGTAAATTTTCGAATGCAGAGGGTTTTTATTTAAAAAAACATTTTAAAAATGGCTTGCGCACAAACGAGGAAAGATTAAAACGCAATTTGAATTCATAGGGTGCAACTTTAGAAGGTGTTTTATGAACTATCAAAATATTGGACAATTTGATGCACATTAAATCCAACGCGCAACGTTTATTGCTTGGACAATAATATTTTTGCCATAGTGGCCTTTCATGCATAATTTATTACACGCACTGCTGGTTTTATTTCATGATTGATTCTCTTTAGAAACAGTTAAAACATTATTTGTGAAGGCTACTGTGGCAAAAAGTCCACGGAAGCTTAAAATACCGGAAATTGCCCGCGCATATTTATCGTAGGCGAACGTGGGAAATCAGGATTAGTTAGGGTTAGGATATGTCAACAAACATGTCGAATTCTAGCTTTAAAATTTTTATACTTCTGTCAAGTTCTGTGGGATATGACTTTATGACGGTTTATGTTCTCAAGGAATACCTTGTACCCTTGAATATTTAAAGAATAATTAATCGGCATTTTAGCTAAGTGTTGTAAAGTTGTGAAATGATTTTTCGACCAAATGACAATAGCTATATATATATATATATATTTCTTATATATAAAAAATTTAAAATATCATGAATTATTTGAATTTCGTATGTTATTGCTCATCACAGAAGGGAATAGTATTGTAGGAAATTATAGGTTTTTAGCTAGAAACTGTATTTCTCTTTGCTTGTTTACTGCTATACAGGTAAATCAACAATTGAACGGAAACGAGTAGTCGTACTTGTATACTCGTATAATAAACGGCGGTAGTCGTACTCGTATTCAAATCTAAAGCTCTCTAATGTTAGTACAGAAAGCTGCGTGTTACTGAAATCAAACCCCAGTCATACAGAGGTGCATGCACTATAATTATTATTCATATCGTTTAGTTATATAAATAAACATGCAGGAGTAAGTTAATTAAATTGTAATTCTTATGGTTTGTGAGTACTGGGAAAATTGAATCTAGTATACTATCATTCTTGTTAACGACTAATGTTTAATTTAACAGTTAACGGTGGCTACAGCAGCTGGAATTTAAGCAGTCAATGTAATGTTACATGTGGACAAGAAGTAGAAATATGGCGGCGTTCATGTAACAATCCTACTCCAAAAAATGGAGGTCGAAATTGCACTGTGTTGGGAGAGGATATTAAACGTATAATTTGTGAAAGACGACCTTGTCCAAGTATGTTTCAATAAATCTTCTTTTCATTTTTGCCAAAATCAGTTAATTTCTTTCGCGATTTGCCCATATAGTACGTTGACACCAGTAAGCTCTATCGCGTATGAGAATGGCCTCTGAGAAATTCATTAACATAGTACGTGTTGTATTTAACGTATAATCACACACTTTTTGCCTCGTACTTGTATATTAAGTAAAGAACACGGCTGTTTGTGTTTTAAACGTTACTTGTAATGCATGTGTACGTGAGAGTTCTACCTTTGAATAATTTTAGTTGATGGTAACTATAGCAACTGGACTACATCATCAGCATGCAGTGTGACATGTGGTGTTGGGTACCAGATATGGTTCCGGGAATGTGACAATCCACCTCCAACGTATGGGGGGAAAGACTGTTCCAAATATGGTAAAGACAAAGACAGTCGACCGTGCCACCTGAGGCATTGTTCAGGTTAGTTTTTTAATTGTTTGAGCTGATTAGTGATCAGTTAACATTTTCACAAGGGTATACAAGTAGTATTCTTTTTAAATCTCATCCAAACCATTCTCTTAAATGTTCAATGCAGAAAAGAACCAATCAAACTCACAATTAATTTTCAAGCATAAAGCTTAGCTCACTATCTTTCAATTAAATAGTGACGTCACGTTCTGCAAAGGTGATCAGAATCGCATATGGTGTTTGTGTTCCGATCATCATTATGGCCATTGGCTTTTTTCTCATTCGTAAAAGAAACGTCTTGATGAAACGATTTAAAAGAGCAGATCGTAAGTTTATTGAGCTTTACTGTATATTAATATTAATAATTTTTTACGTACATGATTTATGCAGAATATGATTCGACTACCTTGGCGAAAAAAGGGGTATAGTACAGTTAGTACATGTCCTCCTACTTCTGTGACCGGTGTTTCATTTCAAAACATTTACCAGTTGCTTAGTTTATAGCAAAAACTTGTGGCTACAGCATCGTGGTGAAGGAGATACAACTACCTGAATTAATATACAAAAGTGTCACAGTTCTTTTCGTATCTGCTACAAAGCTCTGCTGTTTCTACTCACTGGCACCGTCGTTCGAGATTTTAACTTGTAGTTAGCATTTTGCATTTTGGATAAACGCACCCAGGTTATGTTTTCACGATTCTCGCCAAAACAATCGATCGAGTCATACGCATCGTTTTTTAATATTTATGTCCTATTTTAACTTGTTTGTTTTCATCCCCACAGTAGGTAACCCCCCCCCCCCCCC